TAAAGGTCAAACTTCATATTTTAGTGTATTAGTATCCAATAGTCCTAGCCTCATTTGTTGAAAAGACTATTTTTTTTTTCATTATTGTATATATTCACCAAAAATCAATGTAAGGGGATCTGTCTGTTCCTGGACTCTCTATTCTGTTCCATTGACTATGTGTGTCCTTGACCAATACTACAATGTTTTGATTATTTTAGTATTAGCTTTAGAAAAAGTCAGGAGATCAGGTACTTAGAATCTTCCAACACTGTTCTTATTCAAAATTATTTTTGTTATTCTAAGTTCTTTGCATTTCCATATAAATTTCTGAAAACATTTGTAAATTTCTTACAAAAGAATCCCATTGATTGGCATTCCATTGACTTCTGGATACATTTCAGAATAAATTTTAATAATATTGAGTCTTCCAATTCATCATCATGCTACATCTTTCTATTTATTTTTTAAAAATTTCCCTGAGCAATATTTTGTAACCCTCAATATCTGTGTCTATTTTGTTAAATTTATCTCTAAGTATTTTTGATGCCATTAAAATGGTATTGATTCTTAATTACAATTTTAAATGTTCATTACTTGTCTAGAAACATACAATGTATTTTTTATAATGACATTGAACACTGCTATCTTATTGAATTTATCAGTTCTCTAGAAACCCATTTTCATAGGTTTTTAAGGATGTTTTATATAAATGATTATATCACCTTGGAATAATGATAGCTTTTACTTCTTCTTTTCCAATCTATATTACTTTTATTTATTTCTCATACCATATTGTATTGGTTAGTACAATGTTGACTGGGAGTAGAAAAAGCAGACATCCTTGCCTTGTTCCCAATATTAGGAAGAATGCATTAATTTTCATGATATTAATAAACTTGGCATAGTTGCCATTTATCAGGTTAGGGACATTTTCTCCTATTTGTAGTTTGCCAAGAGTTTTTTTCATGAATGAAGGCTGAATTTTTTAAAGTGATTTTTATGCATATTGAAATGATAATGTGGTTTTTCCTTTTACAGTGTTGATATAATGAACTACCATGATTGTGCTTTGAAATTTGGACTAATCTTGTATTCCCAAGATGAACCCAATTTTCTTAGTATATGTGATCCTTTTTATGTATTGCTATATTTTGCTTGGTAAAAATGTTTCCTCTAGTTTGCATGTGATATTAAATTGTAATTTCTTGTCTTTGTCAAGCTTTGCAGTCAATTTAATAAGCGAGTATATATTTTATGAGAAACAGAAGTTTTTAACTAAAAATTAAAATTCCTAAGATGAATCTAGGCTATTCAAATTATCTTTTTTTCCCCTTTGGCAGTTGTTTTTCAAGGAAATTTGCCCATTTCATCAATTTTATTGGCATAAAAATTTTAATATCCTTATCATTTTAATGTTTGTAGTATTTACAGTGATGGCACCTCTTTAATTCCTGATATTGGTAATTTGTGTCTCTCCTCTTTTGTATCTTGATTGGTCTGGATAGAGGGTTTTATCAATTATTTTGATCTTTCAAAGAACCAACGTTTGGCTTCATTTATTTCTCCTATTTTTCTTGTTTCATCCCATTTATGTCTACTCTTTATTGTTTCCTTCATTTTGGTTGCTTTGGTTTTATTTTGCTGTTTTACTTCTAGTTTGTTGGAAGTTTAAATTATTATTTAAAACATAATTTTATTGATTTCAGAGAGGAAGGGAGAGGGAGAAATAGAAACATCAATGATGAGAGAGAATCATTGATTGGTTGCCTCCTGCACAACCCCCATTGGAGAGCAAGCCTGCAACCTGGGTATGTGCCCTGACAGGGAATTGAACCATGACTTCCTAGCTCATAGGTTGACGCTCATCAGCCAGGCTAAAAGTTTAAGTTATTAAATTGAGTTCTTTTTTTCTCTAATGTGAGCAGTTAATGTTATAAATTTACATGTTTTTATTTTCATTCAATTCCAAATATTTTCTAATTTTCCTAGTGATTTCTTCCATGAATTAGAAGTGTGTTACTTAATTTCCATATATTTAGAGCTTTTTCAGGTATCTTTCTATTATTTATTTCTAGTTTAATTCCATTGTGATCAAACAATATCCCTTGTATGATTTCAATCCTTTTAAAGTTGATGAAATTTGTATTATCACTTTGAATATTGTCTGTTTTAGTGAATGTTTCATGTGTACTTTCTGCTATTATTGGGTTGAGACATCTGTAAATGTCAATTAGGTAAATTGGTTGGTAGTGCTGCTCAAGTCTTCTTGAATCCATACTAATTTTCTGTCTACTTGATCCATTACTTACAGACAAGAATGTTGAAGTCCCAGTCATAATCACTAATTTGAGTATTTCTTCTATAAGTAATAGTATTTTTCACTTCCTGTATGCTGATGATCTATCACTGAATATGTACATATTAGTATCATGTCTTCTTTTTAAAAATATATTTTACTGATTTTTTTTACAGAGGAAGGGAGAGGGATAGAAAGCTAGAAACATCAATGGGAGAGAAACATAGATCAGCTGCCTATTGCACACCCCCTACTGGGGATGTGCCCGCAACCAAGGTACATGCCCTTGACCAGAATCAAACCTGGGACCTTCAATCAGCAGGATGATGCTCTATCTACTGAGCCAAACCTGTCAGGGCAGTATTATGTCTTCTTGATATAATAGACCCCTTTCTGTCAGATTCCCACTGTATCCTTCTTTAGCCTGGACTCTAACCAATGAGGCTGAACTTTATAGATTACATCCTTGCCCTCTATTTTTAGTTCAATTTTGGCCAATGAAAGACACCAGGGGGACATTAGTGTGCAGGGAGAGGTTTGGGTACTCAATCCTTTCAATTCCTCCCTGCTGGGTAGCAGGTTGGCAGTGGTAATGTTTCTCTATGAAGGCACTGTAGGTAGCTATTGGGTAGGGGGCTGTTACAGCAATAAATCCTCCTTGGAATATGATAAATCCCTCCTTTCCTGACCCCTTCGGCCTAAGGGTCATAATGATTCTCTGATGAGTTCTGGTTACTTCACCATCACTTAGTTTTCAGGTAACTCTGTCCACACCTTTTAAATGGCTCTTTCAATCACCTCTCTCCAGTATGCCATCTGTTACCCGCTAGGGATTCTTACTGATGTAACATGTTATAGTACTTGTTTATTTAGAGAATTTATTTGGTTCTTTCCATTTAACTCACTGGCTCAACTAAGTGTGTCATTCAATGGTTTAACTAAGTGTGTCATTCAATATTGGGCACTTGAAGAAGGGGGAAAAAAGGGTCTATCTGGACTTTGAATGGGAGAAGATGTAATAACGACTCTGCTGACCCCGTTCTCCTAAACTTCGGGCCAGGGCCCTATATTCTCCTACCGAGGCCCTATTTCCTAGGCATTGTTGTAGATGACACCATGTGTCATGCTAGTGATTCCCATGTCCATAAGCAAGCTTGGGCTACTGTGGTCCCCAAAAAAGCATGTCTCATGGTACATTAGGTGAGCATAACAGACTCATCACAGCAGCCCTAGGTTGTAATCAGAATAGGGATCATGCTCTGTTTTTCACCGACGTTATCCCATTTGTCAGGAAATTTACAGTATTTGGTTTGAACAAAGGAAAGAGTGATGGTAGGTTCCCTCTGCAGGAATTAAACGCAGGACAAACTGTCTTGTGGAGGAATGTGCACTGGGGAATACTCAAATTATAGTAGCAGCACATATGAATGAGAAATTCTCATGTTTTTCTGGACTCTGTAGACAGGGATATACTGAAATGTGTTATCTCTAACTTGGACGGAACAGTCTTCTGAGCAGTAGATTTTACAGAGCTTAAAACTTAAAAACGTTGCGAATGGGCTACATGTTTACGTTAAACGACTGAAACTTGTCCGGATGTGTTGCAAAAAAAAAAAAAAAAAAAAAAAAAGTGGAGCAACAGTTTTCATACCGGTGTTTCCAGAGGCTGGATCAGCCTCCTTGCACTTGCCTGGTCCACCATCCAGGAGCCACAGGCATCCTCGATCCCAGGGAAGAGTGGGTGGCACCGCGCGGCTCCGGGTGTGAATGTCACTTGAACCAAAGTGCTTTTCCCAAACCCCACCAGGCAGGTAGCCTCCAGCCCTGGGCGTGGGTCAGTTTCTCGGCGCGGGATCGCGTTTGTTGCCTTGTGAGGCCCCGCCTTCCGGACCAACGCGCCAATTAAAACGAAAATGGGGGCCTGGAGGGGCGGGAGAGAAATTGAAGGCGGAAAGCAGCGAGGAATGCTTGGCGGGAAGACTCTCGCGAGAACTCGCCAGTGCCGGCCGTTCCCGCTGAGGCCTCGCGAGCGCACCGCAGGGGGCGGGCTCAGCGGTGGCCCCGCCCTCCCAGGCGCGCGCGCGCTGCGTGGCGGGAATTTCGCCTGTTTGGGTTTGGGGCCGCATGGAGTCCGCGGCGGTGCTGGGGATCGCCGGGGCGCCAGTCGGGGAATGAGAGCATGAGTAGGTACGATGGGCACCGAAGAGGGGGCTCCTCCGTGTTGATTCCGGGGGAGACTTGCTCCGCGACCCGGAGGAGGAGTGGGGGTTGGCGCTGGGCCCTCCAGGTCCCCATTTGAATCTGCAAAGGAGCTTCCTTCCCCACGACGCTGCAGGGCGACCGTAATGGCGTGGCGAGGGGTGCTGGTGCTGGTGCTGGTGGGCTCGGGAGGGGAAGCTGTATCTGCCCCGCCAACATCGCTCTCCTCTGTCCCTGCCCCGGGCTGCGGCAGGGTCAGACCTGCAGGGTTTTAAGTTCCCGGTACAGCCAGTCGTGGGTGCTTTCTGCCTAAGTCCTCACAGCCTTGATCACAGCCTTGATCTTGGGGAGCCGCTGGGGGAGAGTTGTGGGGACTATGGCTTCTCAGTTTTCTTTGTGCAGGAGGGGGTGGGGGGTGAGGTTTGGGTAACTTTCTGACGTCACCCGCCCCGCCACTTCTCTGGAGCCCTTAAGGATCATTACCATGAACCTCCCATGTTTGTTTCAGGATATGAAGTAAACAATGGATATCGGTTCTGCCACGTCGACGTACCTGACCGACAGCTTGGAACTGGAGCTGGGGACCGAGTGGTGCAAACCCCCCTGCTTTTCTTGTGCTTTTGACAACAGAGCGGGAGGGAAACATTTTTCTGGGGAGTCCTACCTTTCCAGCGGAGCCCTTAAGCGGTGGGTAAAACACCGGAGGCTGTTTCACCCTCATCAGATTTTTCATTTGTTTGTTAGGAATGTTATTTAGTTAAGATTTCAGGCAGCTACACTTTTATGTTCAAACCATCTTTTTTGTAAATCGGCTTGGTATATCAGACAGATGGCAAGCTGTTAGCTCTGTTGTAGGTTTTCTGGTTCAGCGAATACCTAAAAGATTTTGGATATGAAGGAGAACATTCTTGCTACCTGATGTTCTCTTACTTCGCTGCTACCTCAGTTTGGCGGTATGGAGCTGGGCTTTAATTTTCCTTTTACTTAAAATGAAGCCTGAACTTCCTGGGTTTTTTGAACTGATGTTTCCTCCTAAAACATGGAATAATATTTTGGAGCTTCTTAGTAATCCTAAGGAAGACATGTACATCTTTTGTTGCCCCAGTTCCTTCAAAGTCTGCGTATTGTTAATATAGAAGTCTTACTTAAATTCTTTTCTAATAAATGAACTACTTTGTGTAAGTTAACAGGGATGTTATTTCTGAAAGTTCTTGCCTTGGGCAGTTAGTTATACACATATTGCTGTAAAACTGCTGTTATTGAAATATTTTAGGAAAGTCTTCTGTTAGGAAGGAAATAATTTTTGTGGTTTTATAGTTGCACTTTAAAAATATATATATATATATTATTGATTTTATACAGAGAGGAAGGGAGAGAGATAGAGAGCTAGAAACATTGATGAGAGAGAAACATCGGCCAGCTGCTTCTTGCACACCTCCTACTGGGGATGTGCCCGCAACCAAGGTACATGACCTTGACCAGAATCGAACCCGGGACCTTTCAGTCTGCAGACCTATGCTCTACCACTGAGCCAAACCGGTTTCGGCTATACTTGCACTTTGAGACCTAAAGAGACATTACCCGGTTTGATTATGCTGTTTTCTAGACAGGGCTCAGAATAACTTTTAGCTATTTTAAAAATTAAATGTCCCCTCAAAGGATGAATTCTACATCTGAAGGCTACTGTTCAACACAGACAAAAGTATATTCCTATTTATTAGTAAATAGTTACATCTATTTATTAGTATACTAATAAGTTATATACTAATTAATAGTTAAATTACTATTAGTAATTATATTACTATTAGTAAATAGTTATATTACTAGTTAGTAAATAGTTATATCTGTTTATTGGTATATTCCTTAGACTTCTTTTTATGTTTTACACATAAGTTACATTGCTCTATGGTTATATCTTTTTATTAGTATATAGGACTAGATTTTTAATATAGTATTCTTTAGTATGCCTTTACTAGTATGTATGGTACCAAGGCATATCCTGACTTTATAATATCATTGCTGGCATGTCATGTGTAATAAAGGTTCCTAAAATGTCAAAAAAAGACATGCTAAGTATGGGACTAAGTATACTTTTCATGAGATTTAATCATAGTTTTCATTTCAGATTAATTTTGAATCTTGATCCTTTACCAACTAATTTTGAAGAGGATACAGTGGAACTATTTGGCATCCAGTGGGTTACTGAAACTGCATTAGTGAATTCATCTAGAGTGCTATTTAATTTATTCAGGTAGGTTTTTTAAATTTCCTTGGAGTAGAGATGCCATTGTTCACTTTTGTAAGTTACATTGCTGTGTGGTTTCTAATACTGATATTAACAGAAGCACCAGTAGAGTTGTGGTTGTTATTCACTTGATTATATTATCAATAACAAAATTAACAGTAACATTTTATGGAGTAATGGTTTTAATGAAAGGAAACCATTCAGAGAGGAAGAGAGAGGGACAGAGAGTTAGAAACATCTAACAGCTGCCTCTTGCTTTTTAGTGAATCTATTCTTTTCCAGAATCTTTATTTGACATCTTGTGTTCAAGACAAATATTTAAGGCTTTAAACTATATTATAGATTTGGAAGAAAACCAAAGTACTTTCGTTGCTTAATAGTCATAGTCTTAAATGATTTTGAGAGAATGAATTTAGACTTCTCTAATATATTTCAGACTGTGTAATAGAAGTGTGATTAATTACAATGATAAATTTGAACAACATTAAAAAATTTTAATGAAAATTTTCAAACATACACAAATATAGAGAATAGTATAATGAACCTCCACCTCTACCCCCTTCGGTTAGAATAACCATCAAGGTTTCATCACATTTCCTTCATCTGTCCCTCCCCTCTTATTTTTTTGTTGAAGTATTTTTAAGTAAATTGTAGGCATCATGTTATTAAATGATGTATAATTATTAAATGATGTATTCAATGAAAAATACCTTTTTTCAAACATTAACATTGTTTCATTATCACAATGAACACAGTTGAAATAATGTTTCATTTAAAACCTAGTCCATTTTCAGATTTTAGATAATGTTGAAATAGTTATTTGGCATCCAGTGGGTTACTGAAACTGCATTAGTGAATTCATCTAGAGTGCTATTTAATTTATTCAGGTAGGTTTTTTAAATTTCCTTGGAGTAGAGATGCCATTGTTCACTTTTGTAAGTTACATTGCTGTGTGGTTTCTAATACTGATATTAACAGAAGCACCAGTAGAGTTGTGGTTGTTATTCACTTGATTATATTATCAATAACAAAATTAACAGTAACATTTTATGGAGTAATGGTTTTAATGAAAGGAAACCATTATTGATAATATAATCAAGGGCAAATTAAATGTATCATATATGGTATATTTAAATGAAAATGGAAAGGTGCAGGAATTTCTCCTACCCTCATCCCATAGACTTTGGGAAGAGACATTCACTGTATGTGTGCCATGATGTATGTTTTATTGGGTGACCAGGCTGAGTGAGTGATTTTCTAATTTTGAACATTTTAGAATAAGTTGAGTCTTTATCTAGGATACAGATCGTTAAGGAGTTGAAAGGGAACTAGGAAGATTACTCTCAGGAAATGTGGTGAAACATTGTAAGTATAACTTTTCCTGATAACTCTGGTGTACCTTATTCCTTTTTGAACTCCTTGTGTGATACAGCTTAGCATTTTATTATATAACTGTTAACCTAGGATATTTTATATAAGTATTTTAAACTTCTTGAAGATTTAAATAGTATCTCATTGATAGTGACATTTATGACATTTGATATAATTTTTGAGATATATGCAGCTTTTAATATGTTATTTTTATATTTTCTCAAAGTCTTTGCTACCTGAAGCTGATCCTCATAAACATTCATGAAGTATTGGGAACATTATCCTTGTAATTATTACATGCTTTAAAGTAATCTAAAATTCTCACTTTACTTTTTTTAAATTAGGCAACAACTCTATAACTTGGAAACCTTATTACCGGCCAGCTGTGATTTTGGTAAGTTGTGTGTTTAAAGGCTAATTACAGTGAATTGCACGTGAGTTTTATAATGCATAATTGGGATATCATAATAACATGGAGGAATTGTTAGGTCAGAAGCTCAGGATTCAGTGTATGACACTTTCTGATCAATAAATACAATTTTGTTGTAGCTGAGATTTACAGTATTTTTTCAAATCTAGGTAAAATTTATTTAAGGCTAAATATCTCAGAAATGAATTAGTAACAAGCTTTGGAGGTGGGGAGTGGGATAGGAAATCATAAGAGAAATAGCACTTGACCTTACACTATCTTCTTGTTCTTTTCTGCTTTCTTTTTTTTGTTTGTCTGTTTTTGACATTTAATGGATTACTGATGGGGGGGGGGGGGGGCGCGGCAATGGTTATAGTTAAGGTAGTGAAAAGAATTGAAGGGCAGTCTTTTAGTGCAAACCAGCTGCTGCTCTTTTCTGGCAATCTTGGTGCAGTTTGTATTTAGGATCCTGACTCTGTAGTCAGCCTGAGTTCTACCCCAGGCTAATTATGGGTCTCAAATCAGGTAAGACTTCTCACCTCATTGAGTTCTTGTGAGAATTAAATGACAATGCAGGTTAAGTGCTTAGCCTAATACCTTATTAGTTATGTTTAGCAACTAAAGATTACCTGGAACATACTTAAAAAAAAAAATATATATATATATATATATATATACATATACATATATATATATATATATATATATATATTTTATAGACTTCTTACAGAGAGGAAGAGAGAGGGACAGAGAGTTAGAAACATCTAACAGCTGCCTCTTGCAAACCCCCTACTGGGGATGTGCCCGCAACCAAGGCACATGCCCTTGACTGGAATCGAACCGGGGGACCCTTCAGTCATCAGGCTGACGCTCTATCGACTGAGCCAAACAGCTGGAACACACTTTTGATCAAAAAAAGGTTTAGTGGCTTACTAATGCAAAATACTAAAACAGAACATCCTCCCCTTCCAGTTAACATGATTATTGCTTCTTAACTAAATGGAACCCTCCTTAGACTCCCTTTATCTGTCTTGCCCTCTGTATAAAAATTAACGTAATCATCAAATTGCACCTGCTTCTTAACAATATCCAATCCAGAACAAAGTCCTTAAACTCCCCCAAAACTCAGCTGGCACAAGCCCTATCCCTGTTACAGTCCTTCCCCACTCCCTTTTATTGAGAGGCCCCAACTGTTCATGATGTAGATTTAATCTTTGCAGCTGTATTTATAAACTCATGTAGCTAGTTTTGGCCTTCAGTCCTCACCAGAAAGCTCTTACTGAAGTGTATATGTTCTTTTCATTATGCTACCCGAATAGCTTTCCATTTGAGGCAGAACAAACAAAATAATGTATGTTTTACTGATCCCTGTCTTTAAATGTCGCTGTTGGTGTTATTCCTTTTTTAGATACTGTTTTGTTTGTTTTTTTGTCTACAGACATTATATTTGGATTTTTTAAATTTTATTTTCTATTGCTATCCATATATATATATATACACACACATATATATACATACATACACATATATATATATAAAATCTATCTTGAACGTAAAGAAATATATATATTTAGCTGTTCTTTTTAGCTTTGTTGACTACATATTCTTTAATCATTGTCATTTCTGGGCCTGTTTGTATTGCTTGATTTTTCTCTTATTTCTGTGTTACAGTGTTCTGGTTCTTTGAAAATCTATCAATTTTTTATTGTGTGGTGGACATTGTAGTTTTTACATTGCTGCTTTCTGGATTTTTGTGTATTTCACTGGCTATTATTAAGCTGTATTCTGGTTTGCTGTTAAGTACTTACACTCCATTGGACCTTTCAAATCTTGGTTTAAATTTTGTAAGGACTCTTAAAAAGTAGCCTCTAGTCTAATGTTAAGTTAGCTCTAATAAGGCTTCTGATGATTCTTTTTAGTGTGTTATGATTTTTTTTAATTTTTATGTTTTCTGGAAGGAACTTGTACTATTCTCTGGCATGTGTAAGCTTTGTAGGGAATTGTTTTCCTATGTTCTTACCTGGTCTTGGGTTTTTTTTCTCATGCTTGAATAGATCAGTACTCTGCCAGAGATTCAGTAGGCCCTCTACATTTTCAGAGCTTGTTTTTATTATTTTAATGCAGCTTTTTTCTTCTTTGGTACTTATTCCCTATAAATTTAAACCTATGTCTCCTCAGCTCCATGATTTGGGCTCTTTTTGGGTTCTCTCTCTCTGTGCTGCAGCCTGGAAATTGTATTTGGATGGGAAGCTGGAACAGTCTTAGGAATCACCTTCTCTCTGGGATAGCAATCCTGCACTGCCTTGTTTCTAGTGTCTGAAAACTTTTTTTTTTTTTTTAATGTTGATTTATTTTATTTTATTTTTTTAAGTTAAAGATGGGATATTGGTAAATCTGATTACTTTTTCTCTGTCTTGGCTGGATGCAAGAGGTCACAGCAATTGTTTGTAACAGAGTACTGCCTTTATGAACTGAGAATTGTGAAACAGGAATGATGTGATTTTTGTGAAATATAATTAAGCTATGAAAATGCCCTTTGCTAACATGGAAATGTTTGTATAACATATCCTGTTGGTTTTGTCAAAGCAGTGGTCATGTTTACTTAAGTTCAAATTTAGAAATAAGTTTTGCTTTATGTGTAATAAGGTTGAGAATTTGTTGTCTTAATTTTCATCATGGTTTTTTTTCTGCTTTTGTTTAGTGATTGTTTCTTACTCATTTTTCTTACAGTGATTGTCAGTAATATGCATATAGTAATGTTCCAGGTAATTTTTGCTGATATAGATGTTGAAGTGAGGGGAAGATGGCATGGGTTGAAGTTGGGAGAAAGACAGACAATATTAATACATCATTTGGGGTCTTATAAATCACTACAAGAAGTCTTTATTTCCTTCTAAATATAGTAGATAACCTTTCAGGGGGAAAGAATTGACATATATTTAAAGCATTTTTAAAAAAAATATATTTTATTCATATTTTACAGAGAGGAAGAGAGAGGGATAGAGAGTTAGAAACATCAATGAGAGTGAATCATCGATTAACTGCCTCTTGCACACCCCCTACCGGGGGTGTACTCACAACTAAGATATATGCCCTTGACCGGAATTGAACCCGGGACCTTTCAGTCCGCAGGCCGACGCTCTATCCACTGAGCCAAATTGGTCTCAGCTATTTAAAACATTTTTGTAATTAGAATGTAGAGGGACAAAGGAGGAGAGTATGGGAAGACCTATTAGGAGACCTGTTGGAATAATTTAAGAGATTATAGAGAGATGGATAGTTTGAAGGTATATTTTGGTCATAAACTTAGTAGGACTCTGCTGGATAAATATAAGTTTTAAGGAAATGAAAAAAGTAAGAATGAAATACAGGTAACTGTTGGCACCAGTTGTAATGAGTGGCAGAAACATGGGCATGAACAGGTTTTGGGAGAAATCATGGAAGTATTATTTGCAGTGTCTGAGCAATCTAAATACAAGATGTTAGGCAATCTCACATACAAGGTCTAGAGTGCAGAATAGAGGTCTGGGTTATAGGTAAACCTTTTCAAGTCATCATTTTGAAATAAAGTAATGATTATACAAGAAAAGAGAGAAGAGGACTCAGGACTGAGTCCTGAGGAGCCAGTAAAGGAGAGGCAAGAAAAAGAACACATGAGGAAGAAAGAAGACTGGCACTGTATGGTGTCAGTGAAGCCAGGTGTAATCAGTGCTACCTAGGGGCAAGTTACTTGTGCTTAGGTAGTTAGTATATCCATTGATTAGGTGACCTTCATAATGGATTTTTTTTGAGGGTGGTAAGAATTACATAGAAATCAGTGGACAAGATTAAAAGAGAAATGCTGCTTGTATGTCACTGCTCACTAATTATTTAAGCTATGATTAACTTCTATTTTGGTTTCAGGGAAGATATCGACCCTACACTGCAAAGCAGACAATATTAGGCGTCAGTGTGTAACATTTCTTCATTATGTGAAAGTTTTCATCGTCAGGTAGGACATCAGTTGAGTATTTTGACTACTTTGTGAATTTTTAAAAAAATATATTTTATTGATTTTTTTACAGAGAGGAAGAGAGAGGGATAAAGAGTCAGAAACATCGATGAAAGAGAATCATCAATCAGTTGCCTCTTGCACACCCCCTACCGGGGATGTGCCCACAACCAAAGTACATGCCCTTGACCGAAATTGAACCTGGGACCTTTCAGTCCGCAGGCCGACACTCTATCCACTGAGCTAAACCGGTTTCGGCTACTTTGTGAATTTTTGAGTATGTAATCATCCAGACTGTGGTGGCTTATTGTGTCTAATTGTTTTTTAGGTTCCTGACAGTACAGAATACTGAGAATCATGGTCCTGTTCATCCCTATGAGGTTTTGGAGGCCCAGCTTCCCTCACTGTTGGTTGATGAGCTTCATGGATTACTCTTGTATATTGGACACCTATCTGAACTTCCCAATATTAATCCAGGAGCATTTATAAGTCAAAATCAGATTCAGGTTTGTCTTATTTAATTTTTAGATTATCAGTTTTTTCTTCTTATAAGGAATATTTATTCAAGAATGAAGGAAATTAGTCAAGAGTGTAGCTCTTCCAGATTGCTTGAGTTGAAATTCTGGCTCCTCCTTTTATTAATTATGTGCCTTTGGGCAAGTAATACCTCTTGTCTCATTTTCTCTATCGGTATAATTGGTAAAGCTTCCTAGAGTTATTGGGAGAATTAAATAAAATTAAAATGAATAAAGCATTTAAAACATAGTATACACTAAATCTGATAACTTCTCTATTCCAATTTATAACAGTGCAAATGTTTAAAAGTTTCAAATCAAATAACCTTATTTTCTAAAATATGTGACATCTTTCCTTCTTTAAAATATTTTAAAATAGATTTTTTGAGAGAGAGGAAGGGAGAGGGAGAAACATCAATGTGAGAGTGAAGCATCAGTTTACTGCCTCCTACTCGGGGATGCACATGCCCTACTCTGGGATCAAGCTCACAACCATGGCATGTGTCCTAACCAGAATCCCAACCAGCAACCTTTAAGTGCACAGGACAGTGCCCAACTAACAACTATACTGGCCAGGGCTCCTTTTTTATTATAGTAAATTCAAGAAGATTACCTTATAAAAATTACACATTCAAAAACACATCATTTTGTCTATTCTGACCTTTGAGACTTTCAGAATATGATTTAAGATGTTTTTTTTGTTGTGTGTGTGTTTTTTTTAATATATTTTTATTGATCTCAAGAAGGAAGTAGGAGGGAGAGATATAAACATTAACGATGAGAAGAATCATTCACTGGCTGCCTCCTGCATGCCCCCTACTGAGGATCGAGCCTGCCCTTGACCAGAATCAAACTTGGGACCCTTCAGTCCCCAGGTTGACTCTCTGTCCACCAAGCCAAACTGGCTAGGGCTGATTAAGATGGTTTTGACTGCCCTGGCCAAGTGCCTCTATTGGTTGGAGTGTGGTCCCATACACCAAGAGGTTGTAGGTTCAATTTCTGATCAGGGCACGTACCCAAATTGCAGGTTTGATCCCTGGTCAGGAGACAACCGATTGATGTTTCTCTCTCTTCTTTTCTCTTTAAAATCAATAAAAGCATATCCTTGGGTGAGGTTTAAAAAAAGATTGTTTTGACTAAAGCCCCTTTCCCCCTACCTTTTATTATTCCATCTGAAGTTATTTTTTTAAATTTGTATTGTAGCATAACCCAGCTTCCTGATATAATTAACAAATTCTCCATAGGATAATGTGAGCTTAAGTGGATGACAAATTATGTTTCCCCATTGATTCCCTGAATTTTTAACCTCTTCCATTCTATTTGACCTCATCAATTTGAACATTTAGTTTTTAGGAACATGTATTTGTCAAAATGTAAAGTACAATTAAGTGTTTATATATTTCTGTGAAATTTAACAACAACAAACAAATATTGACTTTTTAAGGGGTCAATATATCTAACAATAAAAGTAAATAGGGTTTCAGTTGAACTCAGGTTTATATATATAATCCATAAAAAGTATATAGGTAATTGCCTTTAATTATATCACTTAATAAAGACTCATAGTTTGATCTTGGGGGAGGGATAGTTTTCCTTCATTTTAGTCTTTGTAAATTAAAATCATTTTTATTTTCTGGACATCCATTAAATGGTTAAGAAAATAATTTAGGAGCAGAAATAAAGATTGTGTGCTCCAGTCCTCAAATTAGGTTTTGCCCTTCATAGGCTTTTCAATTTAGCAAACTTGAAAAGATAGGTTATTTGAAGATCAGAAGACTGAATTTTTAAAGCAGGGGAATGTAGTCTTCAACACATAAAAAATAAATTATGCACTAAAATTCTCTTCTAAAACAATAGCAAAAACATCTTACACAATAAAAAGCATCTTCCAAGATTTTATATATTTCTTCTATTTTACCAGTCTTATATATGAAAAGTATTGATTTAATTGTTATTTTCTGTTGAGTATGTTTTATTTAGTTTTTTGGGGGAAACTTTTTAGAAATATTTGGGTATTATGTATTACAGATATTTTATTTTTTTCAGCAATTAAGCTGACTTACTAGGTTAGATTGAAGTTTTTTTATATAGTTATTTTTTTCTTTTGTATCTCTGTGCTGATGTTAGAAATATACTTGTTTTTACATTTATCTATTTGATTTATCTTTTTAAAAATAATTCTGTGAGGTGGGAAGTCTAACTTTAGTTTTTTACAAATGAATAAGTTAGTTCTGTCTTATTAAATGACCCATGCTTTTCCCAATGATTTGGATACCACATTTATCCATTTCTCTTCCCTGTGTTTGCTGATTTTTATTATCTATTTTTGAGCCAGTATTATTTATTAACGTAGTGTTTTACTTTATTTGCATATTTGATATGGCAAGTTCCTTCTGCATCATTCAGTTGTTTTACTAGAACATGTATCATTGTATATATTTAAAAATATACTATTATTGATGTCAGAGAGTTAGAAACATCAATGATGAGAGAGAATCATTGATCAGCTGCCTCCTGCACTGAGGATCGAACCCACAATTCAGGCATATGCTCTGATAGGGAATCGAACTGTGACGTCCTGCTTCATAGGTCAACACTCAACCACAGAGCCATCCCAGCCAGGCCTCATTGTATTTATTTTTATAGTAATACTAAATGCTGACTGGGAGTAGATTATTGATAGCTAAGAGCACTAGCTTTTTATTTATTTATTTTTTAAATATATTTTATTGATTTTTCACAGAGAGGAAGAGAGAGGGATAGAGAGTTAGAAAAACCAATGAGAGAGAATCGATCAACTGCCTCTTGCACACCCCCTACTGGGAATGTGCCCGCAGCCACATTACATGCCCTTGACCGAAATCAAACCCAGGACCCCTCAGTCTGCAGGCCGACGCTCTATCCACTGAGCCAAACCGGTCCCTGCAAGAGCACTGGCTTTTTAGTCATAATTAGATTTGAATACTAATGTGAAAATTGAGAGATAATTTATTTACCTCTTTTAACTTAAAAGGCATAACAATAATGTCTGCATGATAGATTAAAGTTCTCTTGTTAACATTCTTTATAGGAGTTCCTGGGATGTATTACATTTTTAAAGAAAATATGTTTTTATTTATTTCAGAGAGGAAGGGAGAGGGTGAGAGAGATAGAAACATCAGTGTGAGAGAGAATCATTGATCAGCTGCTTCCTGCATGCCCTCCTACTGGGAATTGAGCCCACAGCCTGGACATATGCCCTGACTGGAAATCCAACCGTGACATCTGGTTCATAGATCTATGCTCAACCACTGAGCAACACCAGCCGGGCTAAAAACATACTGCTAACTAAAATCTAAAATTCATGCACATAAGTGTTTTGTTTTTTAAATATATTTTATTGATTTTTTACAGAGAGGGAGAGAGAGAGCTAGAAATGTCGATGAGAGAGAAACATCGACCAGCTGCCTCTTGCACACCCCCAACCGGGAATGTGCCCGCAACCAATGTACATGCCCTTGACCGGAATCGAACCCGGGACCTCTCAGTCTGCAGACCGACACTCTACCTCTGAGCCAAACCAGTTTCGGCCACATAAGTGTTTTTAAAATTATTTACTGCTTTGCAGCTGTGATAGAATCAGAAGTTGGTTGCAACAGTCCTTTACAAATCTATTCAGCAGCCCCAAGGTGGATCTGTCTTAAATTAGATGAAAATATATCCTATCCTGCTTTCAAAATCTCCAGTGAAAGGATCTTCTAATGAATATGATAAAGGTTTTTCTTAAGCTTAGTGGTAGATTAATTGATACATTGTCATGGTGCTGATAGAGGTTTTTTTTGTTGTTAATTTTTTAAATATATTGATTTTTTACAGAGGAAGGGAGAGAGATAGAGAGTTAGAAACATCGATGAAAGAGAAACATCGACCAGCTGCCTCCTGTACACCTCCCACTGGGGATGTGCCCGCAACCAATGTACATGCCCTTACCGTAATCGAACTTGGGACCTTTCAGTCCATAGGCTGACGCTCTATCCACTGAGCTAAACCGGTTTTGGCTGATAGAGAGTTTTTGTGATATGCCATCAAGTACCTTGTAATGTATTATGAATTTTCAGTCACAGTTGATAATGTCATTCACAGCTTTTCCCACCATCGTGGCATTTATTACATCTCCACTTGGATATCCATTGGCTGGTGCTAGAAATTCTACATATGCTTGGTGTAAAATTGAGTAAGTTGATAGATTTATGTCCTTTTTCTAATCTAAACTATTATTGTGGGTTTTTTTTAATCACACAAGTAATATGTTTTCTGATTTTTAAAAATCAAATAGTATCCTAAGTAAAAAGTGAAAATCTCACTCCTTTTTTCCAGAGATAACTATTGGGAACAACTTGGTCTGTTTATCTTTCTATACTTTCTATTATATATATATGGAAACTCATTGGTAGGATTTTTGTTTTGCTTTCTAACCACATATGCTGCTGTCATTGTTCTGAGTAGGGTTTTCTTTTTTTTTTTTTTTTTTTTAGAAATTTGATCATGTTCATGCATATGGTTTTACTTTATTTAAGGGCTGTATGTAAAGGGTCTGTCATAATTTATTTAGCCAAGTTTATTTTTTAAGTATTTCAACTATTTCCATTTTTTTATATTATAAATAATATTACACTGACTATCCTTGTGTGTATATATACATTGTTCAATATGTATATAAGTTATGCTGTGGAATAGATTCTTAGAATTGGGGTGGCATATTGCAGTTTTAATATTGTATATGCTCTATGTTGCTGTAGAGTAAATTTTCCCAATTTGTATACGTCATCTGTGAACATTCCTTGCCTCATACTATTTCTAGTAATGGATATTATCAATTATTTTTCTTTTTTTACCAACAAATATGTGAAAAATGATACTGAATCTCTACTTTTGCAATTTCTTGATTACCAGTGAAGTTGAACATCTTCACATAATTTTATTGTCTCTTTACATTTCCTTTATTACTTATTCATGATCTTTTGCAAATTTTTCCTTTTTAGTATAAGTTCATAATGAGGTAGTGAACTTTTATTTCATATGTTGCTTGTTTTTTCCTTGGTCTTGCTCCTTGGCATGTTTAGGTTTTATTTTTTTAATTTAATTTTATTGTTTAAAGTATTATACATAGTAGTACATATATCTCCTCCCCTCCCCCCCCCAATTGTCCTTCCCCCAGTTTACGTTCTCTTTTTAAGTTTAGTGATATTCTGGAAATATTTCGTTGTAAAGTAATTATTTAGGTTATAAAGACATCCATTATCTCAATATCTGCTTTTTAATTAATGAATAAATATAAAAATACATATATGTACTTATCTGTATACACACACACACACACAAATATGCAGCGATGTACACAAATACATAACTTTTTTCTCTCAGGTGAACTCTGTATTTTAAGTATTTTCTTAGAGCCAATTGGTAGATTTACTCTGCTACAGGTACACATTTTGGTATCTTACTTTTGTTTGCTTTATTTCATGCAGTTGGATATGGCTACTTTATCATTGTTTGTTAAAAGAATGATGTTGTACAGGCTTTATTGGTTAGAAATGAGGGTGAAGAATTTCTAGTGTTTACCCTCTTTAATTTATTTTTATTTTTTTCTCTTAACTAATCTTGCATGGTTACTTCACAAAGATGGTCACATTTAACAACAGAGAAGCCTATTTAATAGTAATTGGAAGGATTGAAACTTTTTTACATGATGTTTATCAGTGTTCATATAAGAAAGGAATTGTAAAATTTAACTTCTTGCAAAAATTTGCTTTTAACTATGTTACAGTCTTGTTATAATTTAAATGTGTACAGTAATTCTGTAGTTTTAACTAAATTTCATTTTATTACATTTTAGAACATGTTGTATATGGTCATCAGTTTATGAATCTGGCAGGTGACAATTTAACCAATGTCAGTCTATTTGAAGAGCACTGTGAAAATCTCCTTTGTGATTTAGTAAGTTTGTCACTCAACAGGTATGACAAGGTAATGATTTCAGAGTTTATTTGTATTTTTGTTACTTAATGGAATAGTCCTTAATTTATGTGATTTAAGCTTTAAGAATTGAATCTAAATTAAAAAATTATCTGGGAGTTGAATGGGAAAGAATTGATTTTAAACATTTAAAAGAGGCTGGAATTAGTGTTTTAGAGCTGTTTTAAGCCTTTTCATCTTGTCAAAAATAAATAAATGAAAACAGGATGTTTATGGTAATGACTGGAATTTAACTTTTGTTTACATAGGAGAGGCCAGCCCTTTAATCGTCTAGTATATTGCTATTGCATAATGAAAGAGATGAGTAATTAAAGTTAGTTGGCAAGCTTAAAAGGTGGTTTTTGCCCTAGCTGGTTTGGCTTAGTGGATAAAGCATCAGCCTGCATACTGAAGGGTCCCGGGTTCGATTCTAGTCAAGGGCACATGCCCAGGTTTCGAGCTCGATACCCAGTAGGGGTCGTGCAGAAGGCAGTCAATCGATGATTCTCTCTCAGTGATGTTTCTATCTCTCTCTCTCCATCTCCTTTCTTCTCTGAAATCAATAAAAAAAAAAAAAAACATTTTTTAAAAAGGTGGTTTTAGTTGACAAATTTTAAGGGTAGTTTTCATGAAAGTTCTGGCATCATGGTGGAAATTACTTGTTTTTACTAAATTGTATTTATATATAGTGTTTAATAGAGACAGATTTAAAGGTATTATAGTACACATTCATTTTCAAGTAATGGAAATATATAGATTGTCATCACTTACAAGCAATAAACCTTACTAATAGAAAATCAGGATTTATAATTCTTTAAAATGTAGATTGTTTTATGTATTATCAATATCTCTTAAATTTAATCTACATATTTATAATTAACAGGAATGTATTAATCAGATATGATATAGTAGTATCTTAATGTATTATGTTACAAATGTATATGTAATGTATGTGAAATAACATATATATTATGAGTTTTAGAAGTCTAGCTAAAAGTATAGACAATATTAATATTCTCTGCATTATTTAGGGTCATTGAGAATATATTTTTTATAAAAATGGTAAAGCCCAGCCAAGAGATTGCTGGTTCGATTCCTTGTTAGGGCACACGCCCTGGGTGCAATCTTGATCCCCTGTGGGGGCCATGCAAAATACAACCGATTGATGTTTCTGTGTCATTGATGTTCCTATCTCTTTCCCTCTCCATTCCTCTCTAAAAATCAATTTAAAAAAGAAATAACAACAGCTTTAAAAAGAATATGGTAAAATTGCTTAACTTTTATATAGCCCTAATAATTGTATTTATTCTGACTTGTAACTATTTTTAGTCTCAACAGTGAATCAAAGTTATTTTCTAATATTTTTTTTATTACATGTCTTTTTATTATGTTTGATAAATTCGATCAAAGTTTGGAAGCTATGAAGCTGAGGTTAAATCTAACATACCCCCTGTTTTTGTAAATAAAACTCTACTGGAACACAGCCTCATCCTTTTTTTTTTTTTTAATGAATTATTAGTGGCTGATACACAACAATGGCAGATTTAGTAAATATACAAAGACTGTATCATGAATAAAACTTCAAATATTTATTACCTAGCTTCTTATATACACATTGTTTGCTGAACATTAGACTAGATAATTAAAGCAGAGGGTTTTTTTTTAGTTGAGAATAAAATTCTGTACATTTGGTTTTACAATGGGAATTTTTAAAAGTTAATGAAATGGCACATTTTTTTGTAAATAATTTTTTATAAAGCATAAATTTTAAGACATCTAAATAATTCTTTAAAAATGTTTAGAAAAATGTGTGGCATGTAAGATTCTTCTCTAACTCATTTTGGTTATTTTCTACAGGTTAGGCCTTCTGAAGCATTAATGAGAGATCATTGCCCATGCCCATGCATTAAAGAATTATGGGTTCTACTCATTCATCTTCTAGACCAAAGAAGTAAATGGTCTCTCTCAGAAGTAAGTTGTAAAATTGATGTATTAGTTATTTTAACTAATTATATTAAATTTATGCAGTGGTTTTGGCCAGAAAAACCTACAACTTTCCTTCTTTATAAGACAACCACCACCACCACCAACTGAAGACTAAATACCTGATACATTTTTAACCCTAAATTGATAATATGAAATATCTAAGAGAAGTGTAAAATATGGCTGTCTTATTTTCTTAAGGGTTTTTGGGGGGTGGTTGTTCTATCAAGAATCTGTTAGGCTAAAATACCTATTAATCCATTCAATAACTCAAGAAACATTTCAGTTAGGAAATGTGGCAGATTTAGATTTGGGAGGAAATAAAATAGATTTCTGTTAATCAATTTTTCAGTATTATTTCATGAAGGGATGAAGAAAAGTGCAAAGAGGAAGATAGGACATTTTCTTTCACTTCATTTTGAGCAAAGTCTTCATAATGGGGCTTTATTTAATTTCGAGTATTATCGATTAGGAGAAAAAGAGAAATATCCATAGGCAGAAGTAACTATAAACAATTCATTATGAAATGATACTTAAGAATGGTTTATGTTACATGAATAAGTACTTTCAATATTTTATGGGTCTTTTATTTTCCCAACTTTTCACAATTTAGGGTTTGGTTACTGCTATCTAATTTTAATAATAACTATTTTTACAGATTTACAAGTACTATATTTATTTGTTGCTTTTTAACTGTTCACATATGGTTATGCTTATTGATTTTAGGGAGAAGGGAAGGGAGAGAAAGAAAAGAGAAACAATTATTTGAGAGAGAACATCATTTGGTTGCCTTCTATACATGCCTAGACTGAGGATCGAACCCACAACTTGGGTATATGCCCTGATTAGGAATCAAACTTGCAATCTTTTGGTATGGGATTACGCTCCAACCAACTTCCCCTGCTAGAGTCCATACACTGTATTTAATCTGAGTTATCTTAGCAGTAAATTTGCTAAATACAAGTAAAAGTAAGTTTACTAAGTATAAATTTCTTATATTTTTACTTTTGAGTAAGGAAATTTTTATTTCATGGTATTTTAAATTGTTAGTACAGTTCAGCTTTCTGCGAGATTTAAATATTACAAAGTCTTGCCGAAACCTGTTTGGCTCAGTGGATAGAGCGATGGCCTGTGGACTGAAAGGTCCCAGCTTTGATTCTGGTCAAGGGCATGTACCTTGGTTGCGGGCACATCCCCAGTAGGTAAGGTGACCAGATCGTCCTGCTTTTGGCGGGACAGTCCCGAGTTTTAACAATTTTAAAATTGTTTTAAAATGCCACGGGATGCGGGACAAATTGCTAAAAATCGGGACTGTCCTGCCAAAAGCGGGATGATCTGATCACTTTTACCAGTAGGGGTATGCAGGAAGCAGCTGATCGATGTTTCTCTCTCATTGATGATTCTAACTCTTATCTCTCTCCCTTCCTCTCTGTAAAAAATCAATAAAATATATTTTAAAAAAATATTACAAAGTCTTAGTAATTCCCCCCCCCCTTTGATTATTTGCCAGGGTATTTTATTTCAATGACATGGTAAAAATCAATTGTCTCATTTTCTGCAAAGCTTCTTTATTATTTAAGAATTTTATATTTTTTAGCCTAGACCGGTTTGGCTCAATGGATAGAGCGTCGGCTTGGGGACTGAAGGGACCCGGGTTCGATTCCGGTCAAGGGCATGTACCTTGGTTGTGGGCATATCCCCAGTAGGGGGTGTGCAAGAGGCAGCTGATCGATGACTCTCTCTCATCGATGTTTCTAGCTCTCTATCTCTCTCCCTTCCTCTCTGTACAAAATCAATAAAATATATTTAAAAAAAAATAAATAAATAAATAAAATAAAATATATTTAAAAAAAAAAAGAATTTTATATTTTTTAGAATTGTCCTTATTTTATAAATTTCAGGCTTGAAAGTGTGAACCACACATAGTATAAGCATGTTTATACTTGTTATTAGAATTTTTCTAGATTTTAAACAGAAGAGTAGGCATAATTTAAAATATTAATTGTAGAAATTTGTGTAGTAACATATATAACCTAAATGATTTGTATGCTCTTCATTTTATGTAATAACCGTACTTATTCGTCTTAAAGTAATGTATGAAGCCATTTTCTTTTTAAAATAGTACTAAAATTAAGTTATATTATTCTCAGATTTCAAGGCCTTATTTTACTTTAAAGTCAAAGTTGAAGTTTATATTCTTGATAGTAAGACAGTTTTATCTTCTTGTTAAAAATATATATATAATCTAACATAATGCTGGGTATCTTGTCTGAAGCATTTTAAGTGTGTCAGTGAGCTTGTAGAAAGTAAGACGTACTAAGGCCAAATACTAAATATAGATGGGAACTCAGGTCAGTTGAACACTGAAGCTGCCTTGTCAATTTAGAGACAGTTGCTGAATTGTATTTATAAACTTGAACAGTAGCTTTCATACATTATAAGGTATAAGACAATAAATCTCAGAGTTTACCCAAGTCAGTACCCTACTAATATACCACTATTCTTAAATCTGAGTTACCAAAAGAATGAACTCAAAACTCAACTAAATTTGTAAGGAAGATTGTCTGTCTTTTACCTGTGGTGTATTGCAGTTTAAAGTTATGTATTTATTACTGCAAGCCAGTGAGTTCATGATGCCGTAGATGGTACTAAAAATTTAAGCCAGTGACTTCTAAATCAGTGTCTAAAAACCATGGAGAAGAGGTGGGTGCTTAAACTCTAAGCTTATATCCTAACCTTCTCCAAACCATAGGACAGCAAGAACAAATAAAACTACACAAAAAACATGTTGATAGCATAACTGCAAGGTAGGGATATTCAAAGCTGTAAATTAAAAGTAAAAGCCACCAAAGCCCTAGTACAAAACTTTCTAGCAAGCAAGGGTAGTCAGAAAAATTGCTCAGAGGAGAGAAGAAGGGAACTAACAGTAGTCATAAAAGTTGGTTTAAAACCGTTGTCAGAATGTGAAAATACTGAAAAAATTCCCTTATAGATCAGAGAACTGATTATAGGATCAGAACATAAAAGTGTGTGCATTACATGAGGAGGCAGTCTTTGAAGGTAGAGCTTCTGGAGAGTACAAATGCAAAAAGGAAATGCCTCCTCTTTGCTGATTGAGTGGTGACAGTGACGGGAAGTAAAAGCAGAAAATGTAGGGTCTTATAAAATAAGAGAAACGAAAACAAAAGTAAACAAAACTAAAAAAATAATAGTAACTGAAACCCAATAAAGAATGGAGTTTTGGTTCATTGACAAAAGAGTGTTCCACTGAACTAGGAAACTTAAAATAGTCAAAATCTACAAAGTGAAAGGAACGAAATGAAACAGGTCTTTCTAAAGTTACTACACAAAAATAGAATTGATATACTTTCGCCCATAATACCTTTTCTTCCAGAAATAACTATAAAGCAGAAGAAAATTATAAGACAACACTTCAGACTGAATTTAATAGACAGCATTTGGGTCTGTAAAAACAAACAAACACACACACACAAATGCCAAAAAACAAACAAACAAAAAACACGCCCTGAATGAGCTATTCCATTGTTGAAATAGATAGAGCAAAAGCCAGTAATGAATGGAGTAAATTAAATGCAGCAAAGAAATGGAAATAAAAATCATTTAGAATTGACTAAATTATAAAGTCCCCAAGGAGGATAGTTCAACTGAAAATGTAATAAGGGGCATATAAGAAAAGCAACCAAAGGAATAAAAATGAGATAAAGGAATATAAAGGGTTAGAGAGAAAATGTTTGAAGTTGAAGATAAGCAAAGAATAACTGTCTGTTTAAATGGAGTCCCTGAAGAAGAAAAAGCGATGGGACATAAACTCACATTCAAAACAATGAGTGAATCCAAGAAAATATTCTAAGAATAAAAAATTAAGTCTACATATTGAGAAAACCTGCTAACTAGAAAGATTAACTCCATATAATCCATGCTAAGACATTTAGCCTGCTAAAACTCTGACCTCAGACATAAAATATCTTCAAGTCCTCTAGGAAATCTGTGAATCTTCCAGGCAAAAAAGATACAATAACTTATAATTGCAAAATAATGTGACCTGCACTAGACTTCTCGGAAATGACATTTAAAAACATGACAACTGTGAATATGTTAAAAAAAAAAAAAACTCATGAAACCTTCCTCCTTAGGAGGACAGAGGCAGAATCTGTGATCCAGAAAAAAATCATCTAACCAAGCTGACACTCTGATCCCAGACAATTATCCTCTAGAACTGAATGAATTAATACGACACAACAGAAAAAGCCTCATCTTAGAAGCAACATAGGTCCCACTTTTTACTCTGGAGATCATATGGACAACTATGAGATGCTCTCTCAATAAAAAGCTCAGGACTAAGAAAAAGGGACAAAACCAGAAGGAAACAAAAGTGTTCTAAACCAACAAATAAGCAAGTTAAAAATGACTCTTTGCACTGACTAACCGACATGCAGTGGCTTTATGGACCAATATGGATATGGATTAGCCATGAAAGAAAAACAGAAAAATCATTTGAAAGCTTCAGAAGGAACAGAGAAGCTTCTATGTTCATCTGCCTGGGAGTTCATGCTATCACAGAATAATGATAGTAAGCTAAGGCTCATAGAGGGCCATTCTTAGGAAGTCTCCAGACGGCAGAAAACAAATATTTTCTTTTTTCTATCTTATCAGTATACAAGGATTTAAAACATTCACAGTGTGACAATACTAATTTATACAGTATACTCAGTTTATTTTTACAAAAAAAAAATTATATCTGTATTTGTGTGTACACTAACGTTCTTGCAGAAAGAATTATTTAATTCTTCCTACCCCCTGTCCCTACCCCATCCCTGGAAAGAAGGCAGGAAATACTGAATGAGATTTGAAGTTTTCCCATTGAGAAAGGAACATTTTCTGCAACCCGACCAGTGTTTAAAAGATTAATACTCTAAGGAAATTATCCAAAGGGGTGAGGCAGTTCAGAGTTAGTAAGTTATTTCAGATGTCTGGGTTGCTACTTTGTGAAGGCAATAGGATGTTGCTTACCTCAGGATAAGAAACAATTGGAGAAGCCTATGAAAGGCTTAGGAATTTTGGGGAATTCACAAATACCCCAAATTATGTGGGAACCCCAAATTATGTAAGAATGAATATAAACTAATTTAATCAGAGACATACAGTGTCCCAGAAAATATTCCAAACATGTAGTTAATACTGGATGTATCTGTATGAGTGTTTTCCTAAAAACCCAACCTTCATTATCCAGTAGATTTCAATTAGACTTCAATTCAATTTCCCAGAAGAGAAGGAAAGCTAATTATTCCTTGAGTGATATTGCTTATGTGCCAGAAAGCAGAATGGGTGTGAGGTTAAGTAAACTGTTCAAATATCAGTCAAAATATATAAAGGTGGGTTTCAAATGTAGATTTATTTGATGCCACAGACCATGTTATTTTTTCTGCTACGTGATTATGTAAGGAAATGCACGTTTTAATAGTTAGAAAAAGAAAATGAAGGAATAGCTGAAATAATTTACTCTTTTTTGGGAAACAGACCAACATATATTTTATATGCATGCTCATATTCCCAAAAGTGCCATGAATGGGTAGGGGACAATATGATAAGAGTGTTGGGCCTGTCCACATTGTATTTCAACTGCCTTGAATATGTGTATATGTATATACTTTGACACCTTTAAGCATTACAAACAGAATGTTGCAAAAATTTTCTGTAAAATACATAAATGCAAAAAAAAAAAAAAGACAAAGTTGAGATATTGTCAACAACCTTAGGCCTAATGTGAATATATAAAGTGACAAATACCTAGAGAAAAATCTTACTAAAAGACAAAGTGTTCAATGTAAAGTAGGCAAATTGTTTTATCATATAGTCATATATTGGAAAATTCTGTTGAACTCTGATTGACCCCATTAAGTTGGATGTATCTCAGAAACACATTGTTGAGGAAAAGGGCAAGTTACCAAAGAATAGAAACAGACCACTAAATAGACACTTCTCCAAAGCGACATAACAGATGGCCAGTAGACATATGAAAAGATGCTCAATATTACTAATCATCAGAGAAATGCAAATTAAGACTACATGAAATATCACCTAACACCTGTCATAATGGCTATAATCAATAAATCGACAAACAAGTGTTTTTCCCTTTGGAGAAAAGGGAACCCTCATGCACTGTTGGTGGTAATGCAGATTAGTGGGAAGCAGTATGGAGTTACATCAGAAAATTAAAAATGGAACTTTAGACCCAGCTATTGTACTTTAGGGAGTATATCCAAAGAAACATGAAACACTAATTCAAAAGAATATATCCACCCCTGTGTTTATTGTAGTGTTATTTACAATAGCCTAGATTTGGGAGCAGCCCAAGTGTCTATGAGTAGATGAGTGGATAAAAAAGCCATGGTATATTTATACAATGGAATACTATTTGACTACTAAAAAAAGAAGTCTTACCCTTTGGTACAGCATAATGAACCTGGAGAGTGTTATGCCAAGTAAGATAAGCCAGTCAGAGAAAGACAAATACCATACAATTTGACTTACATGTAGAATCTGCTGCACAAAATAAACAAAATAGAAACAGCCTCAGGTACAGAGAAGAGATTGGCAGCTGTTAGAAGGAAAAACAGGTGAGGGGATTAAGCAGATATACAACAAACAACACAGAAAACAGAATGGTGATTACCAGAGGTAGAAGGTAAAGGGGGATAAATGATGGAAGGAGACTTGACCTGGGGTGGTAAACACACAATACAGTATACAGATGATGTATTCTAGAATCGAACATTTGAAATCTAGATAACCTTATTAACTAATGTCACTCCAATAAATTCAATTTAAAAATAATAAAAAACATGCATTAAAAACACACAAAACCACAGGTGAAGCCAAAAATAACATGATTTGGGCTTATATACATATGTGGCAAAACTAATAAAACAGGGAAATGATTTATTATGAAACTCGGGATAATAGTTACCCAGGTTAGGAAAAGAAAAATACTATTTATGTTCTAATTGTTAACATGGGTATTTTCTTTTATTCTTTAAGTTTTGTATATTTTATATTTTCTTTTGCATGTATAATACAATTCATTACAAGAATGGAGGGAAATACCCAAGTCAAAGGTTATTGGATCAGTGTCTATTTTAATTGAATCATATTACCTCTGTTTCTATAGTCGTTTTGGAACTGTATGAATAAACTACTCAAAACACTCTTTGAAACATCAAGTGAGCAAAGAAGACCTTCTGTGCCTACAATCCAGTCCAGGGATCCATTAGGTTTTAGTTTGTGGATTATTACTCATGTAGCATCACTTTACCAATTTGATCGCCATGGAACACCAGATGAAATGGTAAGATATAATCTTTATGTTTTAATTGTTTAAGAAAAACAATTTGTAGAAGAGTTGGGATCTCTGGGCGAGTCTATCTTGAAGAAGTGGCATTAGAAGAAGTTTAGATTAAGTTTAAAAAATTTGGCTCTCAAAAGAAATTTCAATCGTCGTACTGTTGATATTTGGCTCTGTTGATTAATGAGTTTGATGACTACTGACCTAGGCCGAAGCTCAAGTTGGTGTTTAGTTTTTTTTAAAATATATATATTTTATTGATTTTTTTTTACAGAGAGGAAGGGAGAGGGATAGAGAGCTAGAAACATCGATGGGAGAGAAACATCGACCAGTTGCCTCCTGCACACCCCCCACCAGGGATGTGCCCACAACCAATGCACATGCCCTTGACCAGAATCGAACCTTTTAGTCCTTAGACCTTATGCTCTATCTAATGAGCCAAACCGGTTTCGGCTGGTGTTTAGTTTTGATAATGGGCTAAGAAATGTAAAACAGTCCCAAATCCATGACTCCCTACTTCTGTTTTTTCCTCAGTGGAGTTTAGTTATGTATCACTTAGTATATAGAAAAATATGCTGTAGCTGTTGAAAGTTAAGTTTTTCTATGGAAGAAATATCTGTATTTGAGACATTCTCATTTTTAAAAAATATATATATATTTTATTGATTTTTGTACAGAGAGTAAGGGAGAGAGGTAGAGAGTTAGAAACATCAATGAGAGAGATCGATGACTCTAGCTGCCTCTTGCACACCCCCTACTGGGGATGTGCCCGCCACCAAGGAACATGCCCTTGACCGGAATCAAACCCGGGGCCCTTCAGTCCCCAAGCCGACGCTCTATCCATTGAGCCAAACCGGTCCCGGCAGAGACATTCTCATTTTTATTTTGGCTTGATATAGTTACCATTCTTTCCTCTGAGTTATGGTTTATTTTTGTTTTAGAGTATAACCACAATATTGATCCATAGAGTTGAAATTCTTTGGACAAAAGTTACACTCCTTTATAATTCATGTGATTCAAATGCCTTGATAGAACATAATAATTGAAATATACTCATTGACACTATCAAATTATGAAGCTAAAAACATCAACCTGTCATGTTCCTGCCTATTTGGGCCTAGTGGTACTCTTTTCTTAGTACAGAATGATAGAACAGTAAATTGTTCAAAGCTGAGGGAAGGCTTGTTAGATAATTAGTTGCTGATAACTTGTTATAGCGGAAGGAACACTGGCTTTGGAGCCAGACCAACTTGCATTAAATCATATATATATATATATATATATATATATATATATATATATATATATATATATCTTTCTGAGACTTAATTGTGTTATTGTTGAAATGGGTAAGATTTTTCTAAGGAAGTAATAATGTAAAGACCCTCCTTTTTGAGAACCTTTTAGGGCCAACTACTAAGCTTTAGAGGACAGTCCTTAAGGCTGCTCTCATTTCTGACACCAACTGCAAGCTCAGGAATTCCCGAAACTATCATTTACTTGGACTAAAAGAACTTATTGAATGCTATTATGCTCACAGCTATGGTTTGTAACAGGGAAAGGATTCAAGTTAACATTAGCCAAGGGTACATAATGCAGAGATCAAGGAAGTACCAAATGTGGAGTTTCCGTTTTCCTCTCCCCCTGGAATCAATACATGCTAGTCTCCTAGCATCACTGTGTTGCAGTGCACAGACTGAGTGTCAGTGGACTTAGTATCCTATGAGAGGTCTGCAGGCTTTTCTGTTGGAAATGTGGAGTCACTTTCCGTTTCTAGCCATTGTGGAATATTTTGGCTCTGAGAAAGTTCTTTCTGGCTCTCTTCCTTACTTCCGAGAATCTTTTATAGATAGTTAATGTGTCTACTCTAGTAAATGACCATTACCTAAATAAGAGCACTGTGTACATTTTTTCTTTATTTTCTGTAAATTTTTTAGTTACTTGTTTACTGGAGTAGACTGTCTTAAGGTTGTTAATGCATAAAATGAAGGAAAAAGTCTCTGGTGAGTAAAGTACCAGAATAAAGGAAGAACATGTGGGGAATAAAAACTTCAAAAAAAATAAATAAATAAAAGCTTGTTTTTTTCCTGTTAGATTACATCTGACACCAAAAATTAAATATTTGTCAAAACATAATTTTATAGAGGAACCATTGTTTAATGAAACAACTCAAAGGACTCTATTGAATTGGAATAGTTGTAAATTTTTCTTCTGAGTCTTAACTAGCTCTGCCCAAGTAATTTAAACATTTAAGAAGTTGTAGTGAGGTGTGATGTTGAACAGAATGTTTGTACTTCACCCTATATCATAATTTTAATTTATAATTATAAGTAGTAATTTTGATGCAATAATTTTTTCTCCCTAGAGACAAATGGAATCAAATTGGAATTTTGTAGAAAAACTGCTGAAAAAGTCCATCAATGTACAGGTATTTACTCACTTAAAATGAGACGATTTGTGGGCTTTGCTAAATTTTTATGTTACAGAATTTATTTGTAAGGACCAAACAAACTTAACATGATTTAAATAACATACTTAGTTTACTTACTAATAACCTGTGATAGAAATCATCATTCTTTATCAATGAAGTATCAACATATAATAGTTCCTTATAGTGACTATCTTTTGAAGGTTTTTTAGTTTTTAACATTGAGTTGCCAGTTAAAGGACAAAGATAATTATCCTAGTTGGTGACTTTGACAAAATGTATTTAAAGTAGTAGATGCTTGAGAACTCTAAGCCATTCCTTGACTGTATAATACCAAGTCTAGGAAACAAGATGAGGGAGATAGCCAGTGGCATTGGAAATTCAGCTCTGTTCTCATCACAGCAGGAAGGGGACTTGCCTTGCTGAGCAATTTGTCTTACAGGCCTGAATCATACTCTAGCTGATAAGGTCCTAGTTTTTGAGCCTTCATTTCATACCTTATCATTTCTCTTTCTGCAAAGCTGTTAATGTAGTGCTTTGTGGCCCACAGGTCAGATTTGACCTCCTTTTAAAATAGTTTTAAATGTGCTGTTCATCACATCTTTAAACATACTATATTGTAGTTCTATACAGTTTTGTCATACAAATTATTTATGTAAGAGTTTAAGGAAAAATTTTAGTAAATTTTTAAATGAGAAATAAATTACTTTTCTTTGAAAATATTGTTAAAACTTGAAAATGAATAAAAAGGAAATATGGTAGGAAAAGATTGTTATATACATAGCACTCACACAACACATAGACATGCACACCCATTTATTTTATAGCCATATCTTTGAGAATCATTTCAATAGCTTGACATTTTCTTTTCCCTTTTATCTATTAACGCTTAATATTTTTAGGTGAAACATATAAGTGCGTTTAGTTATAAATTTTCTAAGTATGAGCTAAGATTTCTGGGTTAGAAAACCAAAGACCTTTACATACTTCAGTTGTATCAGAAACAAAAGAGCTATTATCCTAATTATTATAAAAGTTTTTGTTTATATTTATTTTTGTCATTTTAATTGGCTTTATTCTTTGTTGCTTTTAAGAATATACTGACTTAATAACTCAAAAGTTTCTTGCATGTATTTTTTACTTCAAGGTTAGAGGGAATCACTAAAAATGGTCATTGTTTTTTTTTACAGAAGCTATTAATTCAGTCTTAATACCTTCGGATAGGTTAGAACCTCATAAACTTACTTTAAGCTCTAACAGCATTCCTTAAAAGGCTGCAAAGATTCATATGGATACATATCCATTTACTGCAGTGGTTAGGGACAGCAGGATAATTTATCATCTTTTTCCACAGAAAAGTTCTTTCTCCTGCTGCACTTTCTAAAAGTTTAAAATATATGTACTCTGCCAATCCTCTGGTTTTTAAATGAACAATTCTTAGCCTGGCTGATGTGGGTCAGTGATTGAACATTGACCTATGAACCAGTTCATGGTTCCATCCCAGGTCATGGCACATGCCCGTGTTGCAAAGCTCGATCCCCAGTAGGAGTGTGGAGGAAGCAGCCAATCAAAGATTCACTCTCATTCATGTTTCTCTCTCTCCCTCTCCTTTCCTCTCTGAAATCAATAATATATATATATATATATATATATATATATATATATATATATATATTATTATTTTTTTTTTTTTTTTTAAAGAACAATTCTTGTATTCTTACAAAGAATTTGTCCTAGCCTAGTTAATGTGGCCCAGTGGTTGAGCATCAATCCATAAACCAAGTGGTAAGGGATTTGATTTCCTGTCAGGGCACATGCCCAGGTTGCAGGTTTGATCTCCAACAGGGGGCGTGCAGGAGGCAGCTGAGCGATGTTTCTTTCTCAACAGTGTTTCTCTTTCCCTCTCCCTTCCTCTCTTTCTCAAAATCAATAAAAACATTTTTTTTAAAAAAGTTTGACCTAGAACTTAAATATGATCTTGGGATTTGTGTACATCTTAATTATTAAATCATTTTTGTTACCTCTTCCTGGTTTGGGTTTCTTTTCCAATCTCATCATGAAAGACCTATTGTAATCTATAATAATAAAAGGATAATATGCAAATTAGACCAGATATCCTTCAGGAAGAAGCTAGGGCCGGAGAGAAGCTGCCTGGGGTACCAGGTGCTGGAGCAAAGATGGTGCTGGCAGCTGGGGGAAGGAAGGTCTACTCTTGCACAAATTTTCATGCATTTGGCCTCTAATTTTTAAATAATTGAGTTAAAAATCAAATTCAGTTAGTATATAATTTCCATGAACTGAATATATTAATAGTCTCTAAAGCATTTTTAGACATATACCTTGCTGACTTAGACTTTCTGGTCTGAAGATAATAGTGGATATGATTTGTTGATATGTATTCATGTTCTTTTTAGAAGCAGGTTATTTAATGCAGTATCATGTGATAATAATATTCATGTTGCTATTGTCCATTTACTTCTTCACAATTTAAGTTTATTTTTTAGGATGGTATACTAGAAGAGCAATTACGAATGCATCTTCACTGTTATTTGACACTTTGTGATTTCTGGGAGCCAAACATTACAATTGTCACCATTCTATGGGAATATTATAGTAAGAACCTGGTGAGTAAACAATGTGAATTTGAAGCAGGAATTTGAAGAATTTGTTCATGATATTTGAGGAATATTTTTATGGCTTAATTATGAATAAAGATTTTTCTTTAATTTTTCAAAATAGATTAGGAGCTCAAGAATAATTTTATCTTTCACAAACTATCTAGAGCATTGTCATAAAGAAACAGAGCAAAGTAAGCAAAGTACCTGAAATTACAAAATATGCCATTATTAACCAGAATATCTAGTATACCAGAAAGATTTTTTTTAATCCTTATTTATAAATATTTTTTAATAACTGTTGATTGCTTGCAACATTTTGAAAAATGAATGTTATCCTGACTAAAATGCAGTGTTGGCATTTGAGTAACCTATACGCTGTTTAGACAAAATAGATAATACTATGGAACTCCAGAAAAGGGAGTATCTGATCTAATGTATGGACTTTTGGAAGAATTTATGAAGTCATCATTTAAAACTTGGCCTAGGGAATGAGTGGAATTTTCCAAATACAGAAGTAAAAAGCATCCAGGCAAAGAGAAAGTATGAACAAATGTACATGAAAAAAAATAAATATGTTTATACAAGGTTTAAGAGTTTTGAGTGCTGTGTCTGAGATGGCTTTGGAGAGAGACAGGAAATCAGGACACTAGAGAGAGAGGTAGTCAGGGGCTAGAGTATGAAGATACCATTCAGTTGAATTGTGATTTATTTTGGAGATATTAGAAAGCAAGAATGTGGCATACTAAGTATGTGTTTGAGAATTTTTCTGAAAAATAGTGTAAATGAATTGGGGGCAGATAAGTTAGTAGTCCAGTTTAGTAGTTTACGCAAATAATGCAGTAAGAGACCTAAAATACAGATAATTGATTTAGAAAGGAGAGGATAAATTTTGAAGATAAAAATTTGAAAGATAGACTTAGAGGATTTAGTTACCTGTAGTGTGTAGAGAGAAGAATTGGTATGTTTGGTTTTCTGAATAAATAAATAGTGAACCCCTTAAGACAGAAAATGGAAATGGAATATTTACAAGTAAATTACAACTTTGGGTTGTACATAATGAAGCTTAATAAAAATGAGGGGAAAAAATACCTTTCTCTGAAGCATGATGAATGATTGAATTTAGTTCTGAGGCAGAATGTGTAAAAGGTGAGTATAGGTTGGTATTTTGTCATAACTGAAAGAAAAGGTATCAGAGTATACTGGAGTCATGTCAAAAGCACACAGGAGCCAGCCTGAGAGCTCTCATTACCCAATGCTGGCAGAGGAGGGCAGTTGGAGGCTAGCAGGCCGGCAGGGAAGGGTAATTGGGGGGGGGGGGGGGGTATCAGGCCTGCAGGGGAGGGTAGTTTGGAGCAACAAGGCCTGCAGGGGAGGGCAGTTGGGGGCAACCAGGCTGGTAGGGGAGGGCAGTTAGTGATGACCAGTCTGGCAAGGGAGGGCAGTTATGGGTGACTAGGCCAGCAGTGGAGGGCATTTGGGGGTGACCAGGCAGAAAGTGGAGAGCAGTTGGGGGCAATCAGATTGGCAGGGGAGCAGTTAGGCATCAATTAGGCTGGCAGGAGAATTGTTAGGAGGTGATTGGGCTGGCAGGCAGGCAGGCAAGTGGTTTGAGCCAGCAGTCCTGGATTGTGAGAGGAATGTCCCATTGCCCATTTAGAAACATCAATGATGAGAGAGAATCACTGATCAACTGCCACCTGCACGCCCAAGGATTTAGCCAAGGAGTGATAGCTTTATTAAGCTCCATTATGTACAACGGGCAGTTGAACATCTTTGAGGAGTCCCAGATTGAGAGGGTAGTCTGGGCTAAGGGACACCCCCTTTTCCCCCCAATGTACTATGAATTTCATGCACCGGGCCTCTGGTTGGATATAAAAATAAATGGTATATCCAAATGGTATAAACAAAGATTGGAAAACTTATAGAATAAAAGAGCTTTACATCAACCAAATGCATTGTACGGATCTGTTTGAATCCTAACATTTTGTGGGATAAACCAGGAATTTGAATATCCCTTCACGTTTTATACTTTCATGGAATTTTTATTTTGAGGGAATATGTGGTAATGGCTATGTAATTTTTGTGATTAAGATGAGTCAGACATTTAGTGAGCTAAATGGGATTTGCAGCTTTCCATTTTGATTTACTCAGACTTAATACTTGTTTTCTTCTTTGGCTTTTAGAATAGTTCTTTCAGTATTTCTTGGCTTCCTTTGAAAGGCCTTACAAATATTAAGTCACCCTTGTCTATGCTAGAAATGGTGAAGACCTGCTGTTTTGATAAACAAGATTCCGACATTTGTAAATCCAGAAGTAGTTACACCATTTTCCTTTGCATTTTGGCAAAAGTCGTTAAGAAAGCCATGAAGAACAATGGTCCTCATCTTTGGAAACAAGTCAAAGGAAGGTGTGTATCGTATTTTCTTTATCATGTTCACTTACATCTTTGGAAAAGTGTTACTCTTGGTATTTTTTAAGTTAACTTGTGCTTGGAGGTCTTTATGGTTCACACACTTAAAATGTATATCTTAATGTAGGACAGCAAAATACGGAGTTGTTTGAGCCTGCCAATTTTTTATAGAAAGGAACAAAATAATATCTGTACCTTGTAGAGGATTTTAGTTTCTTATCTCATCAGTCCTAAAAATTGAAATTTCATATACTATATGCAAGGATATTAGAGAATGGCTGTTTTTGTTTTTTCTTACCAGACTTAATTATAATAATATAAGCATATTAATACTTCTATTTTTTATAAACGCATTACATACAAAAATAAAAACTGTCTCCAAATCGTACATTGCAAGTAATACCCTGTTTCCCCGAAAATAAGACAGTGTCTTATATTAATTTTTTCTCCCAAAGTTGTGCTAGGTCTTATTTTCAGGGGATGTCTTATCTTTCCATGCGCTAGGTCTTATTTTCAGAGGATGTCTTATTTTCGGGGAAACACGGTAGATTCAATCTCTAAATTCTGTGTTCTTTAGTGTCCCAAAACTTTGCATTCTTGAATGAAAACTAACCAGAGCCTAGTAGAACCAAATAACTACCCTGTTTTCCCAAAAATAAGACAGTGTCTTATATTAATTTTTGCTCCCAAAGCTGCGCTAGGTCTTATTTTTAGGGGCTGTCTTATTTTTCCATGAAGAAGAATACGGTACACATTTATTGTTAAATGAAAATAAAGGAAATTTATTACCTGTATACGGTACGGTAGTACGGTAGTTGTCAACAACCATGACCATAAAGTCATGTACTTTATGCAAAGAATATTTTACTGTACTTTGACAACACCCCGAACCCTTTGATTCACTTATAGGTGAACTGCTACATCCTTGAAATATTTGAAGGTTCATTTGTTTTCTAGATAAACAAAGTGATATGGCAGCATTGTAATGAATCAGCCAAAAATGTATGGTAATGAGATTCATGATATTAAGTGAAATGTTATTTTAAAAGATGGATTTTGGTGAATAAAAAAGTAATAAAACAAATTTTTATGTTTTACAGAATATATTCTAAATTCCATCAAAAAAGAATGGAAGAACTAACTGTAGTTGGTCTGCAAAACTTTTTCAATCTTTTTCTACTGTTAGCAGCTATTGCAGAGGTAGAAGATGTAGCAAGTCGTGTTTTAGACCTGCTGAATTTCCTCAAGCCTGCTTTGAAAACATCACCTCTCATTTGGAAGGGTCAGGCAGCTTTCCTCTTAATGTATACCCAGAAAAATCTGGACATTGGTGTTTTGGCTGAAAAATTTTCAGATGCTTTCCAGGCAAAAGCAAGGGAATTCTTGCTTTTATCTAAAAATGATGAAATGGGACAAAGACAGGCTCTCTGGACACTTCTTTCCATCTATATTGATGGAGTTCAAGAAGTATTTGAGACAAGCCATTGTTTGCATCCCTCCCATGAAAAACTGCTTAGTGATGGATTTAGTATGCTTCTGCCAGCTTGTCAAGAACCTGAACTTAGGTCGGTATTGCACTTTCTACAAGCTGTTCTGGCTAGAATCAGGTATGTTTTCTAGTAATGTGCTTATTAATTTGTTTATTATTGTTACCTGTGTTGATTCTATTACTTTTGACTTAATCATGAAGTCCAAATGTAGAGAAAGGAATTGGTTTTATTACTACATTGGCATAAATCAGTAGTTTTCAAACTGTTGTTTTAACAGTAGTTCTTTAAGAGAAAACTTATATGCAAACACATTAAACTCGGAACAGCTCTAGTACAGTCCCAGACTTATGCCTTTTCACCCCTCCTTTCCTTTCTCTCTTTCCTAAGAGTGTTAATTATCTAGAGGTATGTTTTAGATATTCTAAGCAGAACCTGAGCTCAAATCTGAAGTGGCTTTTACTGATTAATATAATTTATTGCCTATATGATTTTGGCCACATATCGTAGTACGATTAAAAAAAGTAAGTTTTTTTATTTTGCTACAGAGTTAATAGCTTCAACTGCCTCAAATACAACTAAAACAATTTATTCTGAGATTAAGATGGGATTGTTCCATTTGTAATGCCAATCTCCTATACAAAACTGAAGTTTTAAGATCCATTTAAACTATACAAATGTACAAATGCACTCAGATCTGAACAGTAATTAAGAGAACAGTGGTAATGAAATATATTTTCTGTAAGGCCGTTTTTACATAGCACTTTTATCTTTGAAGTATATGTTCTTACTTGTTAGAACAAGTTAGATGCTACCACTCATTGTACTCAGTCACTGTCTCTTAAAAGTTAGGTAAAAGTTATGTATAGAAATACTTTATTTTTTAAATTATGTCTGAAGTTAATAAACAGATTGCTTTCCTCTTCCTAAGACCACGTTACAAAAGTAGCATCTGTTTTTCAATGGAACTAAGCTTGACAAGATTTCCAAATTATGGAAATTCATTTATTGCCAGTTTTACTTATTGTTATTTACTTAATGTTGGTCTGTGTGTCATACTGATTAATCCACAGGTTTTCATTTCTTATTACATTTTATGCATCTTTACTGTTTATCTGCACTCGTCAGTTTAGGTTCTAAAGGTTTATCCAGACTTCTTGATCAGACAGTCACTCCCTTTTACCCCCAGTGTCAGATATATTAAAGTAACAGTCTTAAAGCTCTCAAATTTGGACAGATGGATGGATGGAAAATAAATGAATAAGTAACTTTATTTACTAATTCTGGATCTTCTCTATGAACTGTTTGTTTTTAGTCTAATAGAGTTTATTAAACATACTTTCCCAAATGTCAAATTCATTTTGTTTGTACAATTTTTAAGTAAGTGATAAGTAGTAATTTCCCTGTGTTTCCTGGGCAAAATTAGAAAATTTGTACCATTATTGCTTTATATTTGTCTGAATATATAAAATAGGTAGGAAGAGGATTTGCTGGCCTAAACCATCCTGGTGATGAGGAACGATAGTCCCCAAAAGCTACAAGGTCAAAGGAATAGAACATGAAGCTGGAAATATGGGCATCTTGGGAAGAGGCAGTCATGGAAACTGTCAGAATCTGTATATTTTATTTTTCTGCTTTTCCTACTGAGGATGGGATAAGTCCCTTTTAATCAGTGATTGCATTACTTCTTATTAAAAATTTTTAAAGACATAAAATTTATTTTCCTCAGACTGGCCTTTTCTTAAGGATTTAGTAAGAGAAGGGAAAAAAAATTCTGGCATCTAAAGATAAATTAGAACTGTATCATATTTTGGAGGAAAGGAAAGGGATGATTTTGAACTATCATTTTAATAATAGTATATGAATAGGGTTGCATTACACAAAATGTTTTTGTGTGTGTGTTTTTAGAAGATTTATATCCCACAAATACTGTTAGTTTCATTTTCTTAGAAATTTGGAGAAAGCTTTTTGTTAAAAATTTTCTTTAAATTGCAAATATATTGTTATTGGTAAAAGAAAAAAATATGAGGTATAAGGTGACAAGTAAAAATTTCTTTTCCCGCCTTTATTCCTATATTTTCAACTAAAGGTGAATTTATTCCAAAGGAGACATTTTGCAGTGTCTGAAGGTTTTGATTGTCACACCTGGAGGCTGGGGTTTGTTGCTAGTAATGGGTAGAGGTCAAGGATATTGCTAAACATTCCACAATGCATAGGACAGAACACACAACCAGCTTTAGTGGTACTGAGATTGAAAACATTCATTGAGTTCTACTCCACAAAAGTAAAATGGTTTCTATAGATTTTTTCTCATTTATAAGCTTAAAACACAAAATGGATAATCTTTATTCTTCAACCTCTTCACTTAGTATTTCCTCAGTAACTTTCCATGTGAGTATATGAAGCCTAATTTTTTTTAGTGGCTGCTTTAGTATCTTATTGTATGGATATACTAAACTTTATTTAACCAATCCCCAAATAATGGATATCTATATTGTTTAATATTTTATGTTATTAGAAACACAGTTTTGTTTATACATCTTTATACATGCATTTTCTGTGTACTTGGAAAGTATATCTGTAGATTAATTCCTAAGTGTAAATTGAATTTTAAATGTGGATGAATATTACCAGATTGCCTACAAAAAATTTTTGCACCAGTTTTCACTCTTTCTAATAGTGTAGAAGAAAGTATTCTTCCTCATTTTTATTAGATTAGTGTATGGAATATATTTACAAAGCATGCATTCTAAGATATTAAATACAGGAGTCTGCTAAAAATGTTAATGGAAACTTGGTGATAGGAAAATCAGACAAAGTTTGAAGAGACTTTCAAATTGTAAATACAGCCCTAACCGGTTTGGCTCAGTGGATAGAGCATCAGCCTGCCGACTGAAAGGTCCCAGATTCGATTCTGGTCAAGGGCATGTACATTTAGTTGCAGGCACATCTCCAGTTGGAAGTGTGCAGGAGGCAGCTGATCGATGTTTTTCATCAATGTTTCTAACTATCCCTCTCTTCCTCTCTGTAAAAAATCATTAAAATATATTTTAAAAATGTAAATATAAAGAAAGTAATCAAATGGAAAATTAGTTTTTAAAATTTCATTTTCATTTACTAATTTCTTTTTGTCTTTAACCTCCTAACTAGAACATGGTTCTTCATTCTGCAAAACTGATATCTAGAAACACAAGAATAATTCTTTCATTCTTTAAAGATGTTCAATTTACAAATATTATCTTATTCATGTCTTGACCAACCATATCATCCTTTTTATAGATGAAATGAAAACTTGGAGACTTTTTATGATTTCCCTAAAATAAGGCCATTAAGTTTCAGAATTGGCAATCTGACCTAATCCACTATACCATAGCCATCTTCTTATACCATTCTTATACTAGCTCACAAATAACCAAACAGAAATTAATCATACCACTACATTTGTTTAAAAATTAAGAGATAATTATATGAATGAAATCTGAAAAATGTTGCAAACCTGAAAGTATTACCACTACTCATATGAAATAGGTTTACAATTGTGAGTACACAAACACAGTTTATTTTTGTATTATTATTTTTTATTGTATTACTAGAGGCCCGGGGCATGAAATTTGTGCACTGGGAAGTGGAGGGGCGGTGGGAAGAGGGAGGGCAGAGAGCCCTCAGCCCAGCCTGGGCTCTCTCATGGTCTGGAAGCCCTTGGGGGATATCTGACTGCCACAGAGGCCAGAAAGACTCCCACCACCGCTACTGCCCTTGCCAGCCATGAGCCCGGCTCAAGGCTTCTGGCTGAGTGGTACTCTCCCTATGGGAGCATACTGACCACCAGCGGGTAGCACCTGCATTGAGCGTTTGCCCCCTGGGGGTCAGTGAGCATCATAGTAACCATCTTGCCATTCCATCTGCATATTAGCCTTTTATTATATAGGATAGGATTTTTCATACACTCTATTGTAAATCTATTTTTGTTCCAACATGTATACTTCAGAGTATTTTGCCTTTTTTGCTACTAAAAAAAAGGATGGTTGCTTATTGGGAAACTTTCATTACTATGTTTTCATAATTTTGCAAGTTGCTTATTTTTTAATGAGTCATTAGTTGGTAAATATCAGAGAGGGATGTGGACACAAATAAATCACATGTTACGTATAATAATAATAATTTATCTTTGGTTTTTTAGAACTGTGATAACCATCTAGATTTCATTTTTTATAATAAAAACAAATATTTGCTCTTTAAATTCAATTTCATAGAAATCCTTTAGCATTAAAGGAGTGTTGGAAAATATTGCTTACAAGTATCTTGGCAGCTATACAGCATCTCTGTTAATCCCTGGGGATCACTATTCAGAAGTACTAAGATAGGAATCAAGAAGATAAAGTAAAGAGTGTCAGTTATATAAGTTTACATTCATGTTAGGAGTATCTTTTAACTAGAACAGGCTTGAGTATATAGTTTGCTGTCATCTCGAGGCTGGGGCAAGAAGTAAGATGTTGATCTTTAAGACTAACCTATGAAAAAAAGGACGTTTATGTTGATATCGCCTAATTCCTTGCACAAATGTTTATTTTTGTTTTTTATGCTGTTCAACTGTAATTGAAAACAATTGCTATAAATGCATATCAAATCATGTATAACGTTCATTGTCAAAATTGTAGATTGATTTTAACAGAAGGAAGTATGAGGTCAGTGTGTAAGAGTGAAGTAGTGTGCAGGTCTTTATTAATGCTTTCACAATTTAGTCACTGTCATCTGTTAAATTTCTGAAACTATGTAGTAATTTGCACACAGTTCTTCAATGAAACTAATTATAATAAACTAGTAGCCCTGCACATGGATGAGTAGCTTGCTGCCCCTTGCCTCAGCCTGTCAACTTACCACCACTGGTAACTCCCGCAACTCTCTGCTAACCGCTTGTAGCTTGCAGCCCCAACCCCTCCCTCCAGTAGCTCTCCGCAGCCCACTTGTAGCTCACTGTCCCACCCTCCCACTGATCCGTGATCCGGTTGTTATGCAGTTGGTTGGTCATTACATTTCATGGCATAACAACCATTCACATATTACATCTTTATTATATAGGGTAATAGGAGGGGCTGTGACTTACACAGTTTAATTTTATT